GCGGAGCTTTGTGTACCCTGCCGCCGAGCCTTCAGCACCAGAGTTGCCTGGGCAGGGCATGCCGCGCGCAAACATGGCTATAGGTCTAAAGCTCACCTTTTAGCTACGGGCAATGTCTGCACTGGATGCGGCTATACCTTCGGCAGCTTAGGCAGGTTAAGGCGCCACCTAGTTTCCGTCCCAGCATGCACTATCCGTTGGGGATCATTCATCCCAACGGAGGGGGTCTCTGCCCCTTGCCTGCACCCGCTGGCTCCCCCAGAACCCGTTGCAGGGCAATGGACTGTAGCGCCCAGTGGCAACTGCGACAGGCAATATTCCCATGCCCTTCTGGAAGACCTTGAGGGCTTCAAGGATGGACCAGAGGATCAGGTCTGGGAAGTCGTTTCTGAACACATTGAGCCCCTGGATGTGCTACGCAGTACGGTGCAAACTTGGAAAGACCGATATCCGCACAGTCCGTGGCACCAGGAAGTGGCGGAAAACATGTTGCTGCTTCTGGATCCGGCGGTTACTGCCGAGGTCTTCCCGGAGGACCCACCTGTCAAAAAGGATACCTACGGAACGCCATTTTGGACCGCTCCCGTAGGTATGCCTATGCAGCTGCAGGGCGATGTTCACCAATCTGTGCTCGATGCCCCACCGGCGTGGCGTATGGACTTGATACAGGCTACTTGCTTGACGCCTAAGCACGCTGATGCCGTGGTCACTTGGACAGAGGCGGCGTGCCATGCTGTCCTGAAGTGTGCCGCGAAAGCCAGCCAGCAACCTGTCCGGCTGTCGTGCCCAGGTATCTGGTCCGCCATTCCCTGCGCTCAATGTTGGATTTCAAGCCTGGGGTTTGAGTGTGATACGTCCGGTTTCCACACACCCGCTTGAGCCCCGCTGCGTTTCACCTGAATTCAACTGCTAGGCGTGCGTCTAACCCAGACACTCTCGCTCTCGAATGGAAAATGTGTGTATGTGCATAAACACATATATACCTACGTGCATGTCTAGGGCTTCAAAAAAGTTCCTGTTTGGTCCCAGCAGAGTCTTTCACTCTTTTCACAACAAGGTCTCTTTGGGAGACCTAGCTTAGGGAAGGCCGTGGCTGTACTTAACCTTGTTAAAACCCTAGGCGCTAAACCCGAAACCAAAGACAATATTGTAAAGGTCTCACAAAACTCTACAACAACGCTTGTACCTTGCAAAACGCGAAAAAACAGCACGTTGTCAAGACAACTACAGAAGGCCCTTGGTTACCACACCATTGAAGCATCTCGAGCTCGAACGGGATACAGTCGGTTTAGGCTGTAGAAGGGTTTGCTAGGGTTGCAGGCTTTGGAGGGTTTGTGCAGAGTGTTCTGTGGTGTTTGCCCCTTCGGCGTGAAGCCCACCGAGCCGTGCGCTCTCGTTGCTCGTAAACCCACCCCACTTTTGTCGGCATCGGACGTGGGCGCTGGAATTGCTTGTCCGGCCGTGTGCTACTTGGAGCAAGGAGTTTGGGGGAGGAGCTTCAAAAAGCTTGGGAATGGTCCGGAAAGGGTTGGCAATCCAAGGCTATCCCAAAAAACCTACAGTGCCTACAGCCCCATTCCGCACACCCTGCACCTTAAACCCTGAACATTTAAACACAGGAGGTGGAAAACGAGCGCAACCTTCTACGCGAGAAGCTTGGGCGCTTGGAGAAGCACGAGCTCACGCTGATTGAGGCTGGTTTAGGGTATGCAGCTTTCAGTGGTTTCAAGGTTTAGGGTTTGAGGTTTCAGGAAAAGACATTGGGTGTGGAGGCTACGGGTTTGATCACGGATGCCGTTGTAGTTTTGGTCGGCGCTGGTCTGTTGGTGGATGACTTGATCCTGGCCTCATCCCTACAGGCCATACTCAACCCCCTAACCCCTTCGTCGTTTAAGGGTGCCCTGGAATGACACATATATATATATACACCATATATATATATATATAAGCTGCTGCGGATGACTGTGGCCGGAGGCCTTTTGAGCCTTATATCCTTAAATCAGCCGTTTTGCGCACAGAAACAGCAGCTGTGGGTTGATTAGGGTTTGGGGTTTTGGGCTTAGGGGTGAAAGTCGCAGGGCTTCTGGATTCGAAGCAGCTCAAAGCTCACGGGTTTCTTGCCAAAGCAAAGGGCGAAAGGAAGTTGGAGCCTGGAGGAGGGGTTACATTGCGAACTCTACCCCTTTGCAAAAGCGCAGACTGCATCACCAAGATCTTTATCGGGCTTCCGAGCCCGAACTCCGATTCACTTGGAGTTTGGGATGTCGATTTTGCTGGGGTTACGGCCTAGGTCTACTGGGTGTAGCTTGCGGCTCCTTGAGTTCCGGATCCTAGAGGCAGGGCACTCAACGGAAAGTGTTTAAGGCCAGCCCAGCCCTACAATGCAAATTCCAGAGCCTTGCACCTTAGCCTTTGCTGCTGCAGGAACGGCGCAACCTCCAAAAGCAGCTGAACGACTTAAACCTCGTGCACCGTACCGTGCAGATCGAGCTGAACCGCAAGGCATCGGCCAGTTGTTTGGAGAGCCTTCTTGGTATCTTAAACCTAAAACCCTAAAGGCCCTAAACCCTAAACCCTTGGTATCTTAAACCTAAAACCCTAAATCTTGAACCTAAGCCATGACCCAGAGCGAAGAACATAACCACCTCGATCATGATGGTGGTGCTGGTGTTATGGGTGGCGAAATTTGCTCAGAACTTCGTGCCTTTTGCGACCCAGCCATGCCCCGCTAGTGATTTTATCTGTGCAAGCTTCACCCTAAACCCTAAACGCTAAACCCTAAACCCTAAACCGTGGATGTAGGGGCTGATAAGTGCAAGGGGGAATCCGACCCGGCAAAAACCCCACCTCCAAACCACACAAATCCTGACGAAGCCAGGTTGATCAAGTCGAAAGGGCGGAGACGTCGCTGAAAACTCTGCAGGCGGGCAGCAACCGTAAGTGTTCAGGGTGTAGGGCTTTCAGGTTTCATGCTTTTTTATAGCGCTTCTGGGGTTTTAGGATGTTTTCGGGCGTAAGGGTTTAGGCCTTTGAGGTTCTAGGGTAGGCTTAGCGATCAACAAACTCCACCAATATGCCAACTGGGCGCGACAGCTGGAGGGACGTTCCCAGTGTTTGCAATAGTGTTGCTTCATCCATTCATCTAAACATTGCCATCGTCATGGTCAATATTCGCCCGCTTCACCATCGCCATCATCAGTGCCGCCACCATCAGCAACTCCTTTGCTATTATCATTTTGTGGTTACGTTGCAGTTCCCATTGTCGTTGCTGGAGCCGAATGCCATTGCCTTGCATCGTCCTCGCCGGCATTATTCTCACCATCCCCGCCGTCATCGTCGCTGTTGCCGTCGGAATCGATTTCGCCGCCACCATCTTACTCCTCCTCTGCCTCCTTTTTTCACCATTAGCATCACCATCATTATCATCATAATGATCATCATCTTCGTCAGGTATCATCATCGTAGTCATCATCGTCATCATCGTCGTCGTCATCATCATCATCATCATCCTCGCCGTCGTCATCATCATCACCACCACCATTGCCATTACCATCACCATTCTCATCATCTCCACTATCACCAGCGCTTAAGGAGGAGGCCCGGCTTACCAAAAGCATTGCTTTTGCTTGACACTTGATGTTGTCATCTTTGTTCCCGGAGATGTCGTTGCCTACGGTACTCGAAAGCCCTGTTTCCGCAAGTCCCCCATCATCAGCTTGATCACTTCGAGGTCTGCAAAAGCCCTCAGGCTTTTGCCGCAACCTCGCCCGCCCCAAAACCCCGAAACCTGCAGGTCTCGCACCAGGAGTTGCAAGATATCCATCGCACGATGGGCGTCGAGCTGGACAATCTCCGGGAGGCAGATTTGCAGCCAAGGGTTTAAGGCTAAGGGATTTTTGGCTGTTTTGGGGTTGTTGGGGTTCAGGCTTGGGAGCTGAAGTGAAGTTGTCGGAAATTCGCTGCTAAAAAATGGGCTCTCCTCCTCCACAGGGCCCGGGGAGGTGAAGGGTGAACTTGGATCTGCTGGCATCCTGCCCTTTGTTGGAAGTGTGAGAAAATTCTAGGTTAATGCACGCCTAAATAATTAGCAATATTATTCTTAGGGTTCCTGTTTATAATTATCGCAAAGGTTTTGGGGTCCTCTGGTTCGATGACATTTGGAACTTTTCTTCTTCAGGCCCCTACTACAGCAACCCCCTTGCGTAGCAATCTGACCATGCGGTCTGTTGTCTGGGTACTAGCTGTAGACTTCCTGCTGTGTTTGAAGGGTGCTCACACCTCTGGCCCCTGAACTTCTGTTTAATCCCCGCAGGCGTGTAGAGGCTCTCAGCCGGACAGCCATAAAACAAGAATCGGGGAGCCTGGACTCTGTGGGTTTTGAGAGTGTTTGGGGTTCGAGGATCTAGGGTGGGGCTCAGTCCCAGTTGATGCCTCGTGATGTACTGGGTAGTGTGTATGTAGGTATGTAGGTATGCAGTATGCAGGTATGTGTGAATGCATGCATGCATGCACGTATGTACGTACGAGTGGGTAAGTAAGTATGCATGTCAACGTATGCATGTATGTATGTATGTATGTATGTATGTATGTACGTACGTCTGT